ACGCGCGGTGCGCCGTACACGCGTTCCGTCCACAGCGGGCACGTACGCGATCGTCGGCGCAGGGAGCGCAAACGCCGCAGGCGGCGAGAGGGGCCCCAGTGCGGCGGAGCACCAGGACGGTCGTTCGCCCGGGAGCAATGCGGCGGTCCAGTCAAGACCCATCCACCAGCGCTGATTCTCGTACACGGTGAAGAGGAAGCGCACTGAGTGTGCGGGCTGTAGGACGGCAGACGTGGTGGAGCCTGGGCCGCCGGCGGCCATCACGGAGGCGGTTGCAGGTTCCGCGCTTGAAGGAGCGATCTTTGGAGGTAAAGGCAAACCAGTGATTAATGCCCGTGCGCGGTAAACAGTCCACCGGACATGAGCGCTGCGCCAAAGACCGCGACGAATGAGTGCAGCCCAACGTGCGCGCCAAGTGAGGAGGATGGTGCCGACAATGGCGACCAATACCCGGAGGCGTACAATGTAAGTCAGTAGGATGTAAGGAGCATACAAAGTCGCAAAGACGCGCAAAAGGACTACTGGAGAAATCGAGTTTGTTGGAGCGCAGCGGAGCACTGGGGAAAGCGTAGGCAGGAGGGCGTGGATAATGGTGAGGTCGGAAATGGTCTGTTGGAGAGACTCTTCCGTCACCGGAGATGCAACAGCATACTTGGAAATCATCGAGTGGGCTAGATTGAAGCCGAAGACGATGGCTACTGGGAAAATATATCTGTGCGGGAGGTCTAGCTGGCTTGTGTGGAGACGATGGGCACACGACTCACCTTATGCCAGTCTCGGGCAACATGCATACAGCCCACCACACCGCGAGTGCGATCCAACTGTCCTTCCATGGCGACTTCCAGCTCAAGATTTGTGTGAGCTGACGGAGCCGGGAAATGTAAGGGGCCAGGCCGACGAGGGCGGTTGTGAGTGGAGACGGAAGGGCACTGAGGAGGTCGATAAAGCTGGACACGGGGGCGGTTTCTGAGATCTTTGACATTGTCGGGGTGAGGTCGTCGTGGACAAGAGACGAGGCAGCCGCATCTGTGCTCGAGGCCGCCGACGTGGACGATGTCAAGGACGGTGGAAGGAAATCACGGGCAAGGCGCCGTACGTGTAAGAGGTGACCGCTTCAAATGGGCCGCGAAACTCGCTTTGTCTTGCCTCTTGTTCGCAGAAATTCTCGCTTCAGCATCCTCGAAACGCGTCTAGTCAGGCGTGGGCAACGCGAGAAAGTCTCCAGGGACGTAATGGACACGCTGGCAGGAGAATAGAGTCCGGTCGAACGATAAAGTCTCATCGGACGATCGATTATACGCAGATTATGGGTTCCTGCGAGCGAACAGTAGTGGCACCACCCTTCAAGCCCGCTGATATATACGAGCAGCCGTCTCCGCCATCCACACTCTCTATCCTGACCTCACACCATCATGTCGAAAGCGGATGCCAAAGCACAGAAACGCCAAAAGTTCGAGGCCGTCTTCTCCGTCCTCCTCGATGAACTTGTTGCCCACTTGGCTTCTAAGAATATGCCTCAGGTTGCCCTCGACTGGTATCGCAGGGTGGGTGTTGTAGATTCCTACTGTCAGGGCTTGCGCTGACGAGCCTCTGTAGAACCTTGAGTACAACGTCCCGGGTGGGAAGCTCAACCGCGGCCTGTCCGTAGTCGACACCGTCGAAATCCTCAAGGGCAGGAGTCTGACGGACGACGAGTACTTCAAGGCTGCCGTCCTCGGATGGTGTGTCGAGCTGGTGAGCTTGTCCCTGCATTCATGCGATACGCCGCCTTATCATGGTGGTCCAGCTGCAAGCGTTCTTCCTAGTCTCGGATGACATGATGGATTCGTCAATCACTCGCCGGGACCAACCGTGCTACTACAGGCTGGAGGGCGTAAATCTGATCGCTGTCAACGACTCGTTTATGCTCGAAATGGCCATCTATTATTTGATAAAGAAGCACTTTCGCCCTGAGCCATACTATATCAATCTCGTAGAGCTGTTTATGGAGGTGGGCCCGCCATGAAATCTTCCGAGTGGAATGTCTGGTTAACTGGTGGCCAGATGACGTACGAAACAGAGATTGGCCAGCTCATTGACCTTCTCACAGCCCCCGAGAACCATGTAGACCTGAATCGTTTCTCCCTTGAAAGGTAAGTACCACCATGCTCCACACAAGTCCTCGATAGTGAGTATGTCTGGTTTTAGACATCAGCTTATCGTCATCCACAAAACCGCGTATTACTCCTTCTACCTCCCCGTTGCGGTTGCCATGTACATGTGCGGTATCCAGCCCGCCTCCGCAGCTGCGGGCCCAGACCCGTACGAACTCGCGCAGTCGATTCTCATCCCGCTCGGCGAGTACTTCCAAGTGCAGGACGACTTCCTCGACTATGCAGGCACGCCAGAGCAGATCGGGAAGATCGGCACGGACATCGTTGACAACAAGTGCTCGTGGTGCGTGAATACCGCGCTCGCTCGCGCGACGCCTGCCCAGCGCGCGGTGCTCGATGAGAACTACGGCCGCAAGGATGCCGCGTGCGAGGCCCGCATAAAGGCGACGTACGAGGAGATTGGCATCCGCGCGCTGTACGAAGAGTACGAGGAAGCGGCGCACAAGCGCATCATGGGTCTCATCGAGACGATACCCGTGACGTCGAAAGCACCGGCAGGCCAGGCCGTCTTGAGGCGAGAGGTGTTCAAGACCTTCCTGGACAAGATTTACAAGAGGTCGAAGTGAAAGGTTTGCTGGAATGGGTAGCGCTCAATTCACATGTACATATCTGTCGAGATACGCATTTCGCGTCTGAGGGTCTTATCTAACACGCCGAATAATAGAAATTAGAATCGCATCCATGTGGCCATCAAAGCATGATGTCAGTCTTTAACAGGCCATGAATGGCTGGCTCTTGCACACATGACGTCCGCCTACCGATAAGTGTTATTATTTTGAACACGCCGCTCGGTGTTGGTGTCTTGGGCACTGGCAAGACACCATTGCGGTGTACTGTGCAACCTTAGAGCGCTCATCCACAGAGGCGGGCCGGTAAGTATGATATGTAGCAGCTCACGAGGCGCTGCCGCGCTGTCGTTGACCGATCAATGTCAGTTCATATCCGTTCGTATCCACCACCACGTGGGTACAGTATCCCAACAATTTCATCATGGACAAGTCCTACATACATAACTCTGGATGGATGCCGGAAGGGAAATTCAACTCAGCGACATCTGAAGCGAGATTATCGCATACCTTATGCGTAATCGCAGTGACTTGCGAGACGGAGGCAGCCTGCTCAAGGCAATGTGAATCTGCAAAGTTGGAGCTGGTGCTCGAGCGCTCCGCTTGCTGATTGGCCTGATAGGCCTTCTTTCGACGGCTACAAGCAGGTGGATGACTCACCGCTAGCCCTTCATGCTGCATAGACCAGCATAGACCTGGGCAAGCCACGGCCGGTTGGACTACTCGCGCATCGATCGATGTCGAAATCCTGTTCGAGCGCAAGCGAGATCTTCTCTGGTAGCCTCGACCTGCCTTATACAGCAATTGTCACGGAGATTTCGAGGGGAGTGTAGGCAGCAGATGTTGTAGTCAGCAGGACCATCGAGCAATGCGGAGACACGTTCCCCGTGTTGTAGTAAGAGTGTAACGTGCTTGTGGCCGAGTGGACCCGAGGAAATATGCTGAACGGACAAAGCAGGAGTCTAGCCGTTAGAGAATGCATTCGCGTACAGCCTGAAGCAGGGAGAGACTGACGGGTGCCACAAATCACGTCAATACAATGCGAATAGTAATCAATCAATCAATCATAACGTACGCGCGACACGATGGGACGACCGTAGACTAGGCCGGGGGCGTCGTCGGTAACTTTATTAAACAGTTGTCCGACAACAGCGTCGTGTGTGTACATGAGCATGCGTAAAACATGCGGCGGCGGCGTCACGTACCAGTATATGAAAGTCTCCAGATATAGACCGGACTCAGGAAGGCGTTGTCTACATTGCCTGCGACGCTTAAGAGTGTCGTTAATTACACACCTGGAGGAAGCAGCGGCATTAGGAAAGTCGGCTGGCACAACTGGTTCATGATGAAAGGATGTAGACTTGACACGACCTCTAGCTGGATCGGATCTTGATGTCTTTGTGACAAAGATGAAGACTTCGGGACTGACTCCGAGCGGCTCAAGCGCTCAGCAACGTTAGAGGGCGCGGCGAAACCCAGGTATATGGAGCCGGGTATCAGGAATCAAAGCCACATGCTTCACCAAAAGCAGCGGCCTGCGCCGGGGTAGGATGGTATCGCGTCAGCAGGCGAAGTTCGCAGCCTAGATAGAAAACAGCGTGGTCTTGAAGTGGGCCCTTCAATACAGATTATCAGCATCTTTTGGGGCGGTAGTTGAGTCGAAACGCCAGTCTGTGTATGTCAAATTGGTCTTCTCGCCTAGGGTGTCCATCAGGAAAAGCAGCAAAGCATAAGTCGACCCAGACGGTGTGTGATAGTGGCGAAGAGATATCCCAGAGCATTGGCGCGTCCCACTGATGCAGATGCACATTGTGCGCCGTCAACTTCCGCCAGTGCGTTAATAGTAAGTGTAGCTGTCTAGATGGACTAGCAGCGTCGGCTCCAACGTGGAGATGTTGCGTTCTGGGCGATAGCATAGATTCGCGGCGACGAGTCGTCTGCAGAACGACAGTAAGACAAATTCCGCCGATGAGAACCTGTCGTAGGGTAACCTAAGACCAGAGAGTGTAGAGCAGCCGTTGAGATAACATGGCTGCAAACTCCGATTATAGCTTACCACATGCTCGATGGAAGCGCCAGGAGAAGCTGACGGCGTGAAAACACGGCGCCCCCGCGTAAGTCTGGAGGAACTAAATCTCCAGTAATCGAATACCAAGGGGGATAGAGTAGCCCAAGATTATAGTGTGCGCTTCCGGATCGTTCGCATGGTGAAGTAGCGGTAGCGCCTCTGAGTGTTCAAGCCAGACGTGCGGAGGTCGAGCGTTTCACGACCCACCGCGTTGGCGAATCCCACATGAACTGAAGGGAATCCCCGTGCGGTTTTGCCCAGACACCGTGACAGAACAAGCCCTCAAGATCTGTGCGGACGCCAAATTAGCCTCCGCAGACCCATCGTGACTTACCTGTCAGCGCTCATACATCTTGACCCGTTCCAATCACCTGCATTATATATAGAAAAGTATTCTCAGAATAATGTTTGAGGAAATCCGCGGATACCTTCCGCATGAATCCACTCGAAGTGGATGAATGGGGAGACTAGTCGTGGGACAGGGCGCCTTTGCGCACGGCGAAAAGGTTCCCGCGTGCAAACCTAGATATATTACAGCTCTAAACGCGAAATTGTCGCCGACAGCGTTACACAAATGTTACTTACCTGGATTGTGGGCTCCCGGCGACATGGTCAGGGACTCGGAGCGAGCCCGGGCGCTTGAGCGCGTCGAAGGCGCGTCGCCTTGGTCACCTGATCCGAGTAGTCTGAGATGTCGCGGGATCGCCTCAAGCCTCCGCTGCTCGGGACTGCTGTCACCATGTTCAAAATGGTCCTGCGTTCTGGCTCTGGTTTTCCAAGAACCCAGAATGCGCTGCTGCGGAGAATGACCACCTCTTCAATGGATAATATCACAGGTTTGTAAGCGCACGCGGTCTAATATTGAATGGGAGGCTGATCATAATTACCTGCAGACGTCCGCGCGCAGCTGACGACGGAGCTCAAGGCTGCGATGAGGGTGCGTGTGCTTCCATGCAGGCTACAGACAGCTGATCTGCGCACACACAGAGCAAGAACACGATGAAGTCGACGGCAATTCGTGTAAGCCGCGCCCTTCTATGCTGGCCGCCATTCTGACGTGTTCTCTGTTCGTGGTGGGCTGCTGCCGCAGTCTGTCCTTGCTGAGGTATACGCAGCCGACAAGGCACCAGGCCGCGTCGAGCCTGCCTCGTCGTCAGCTATATTTGCGATCCTCCGAAAAGCAGTCCTCCGACGGGCAAGTTCCCTCCGCTCCCTCTTTCGCACGCGCCCGATGGGCTAATCCTATCATCCACGAGCAGACGGAGTCCGCCGCCGAATTTGAGAAAGCGTCTCGTTCTGATCTAGCGCAGAAGGAGAAGGACGAAGCAGATCTGTTGCAGGCCTTTGTTCCACCGCTTCTCCCCGAGGCAGAAATAGACCGTGTACTTCGGCAAGTATTTTCAGAACACCCTCAGCTGGCCGGTGAGGCTAGCTCTCGTAAAGCTCTGGGTCTCGTGTACAAAGCATTTTACACAAAAGTCGACCGGTCGTCTGTTGACAGCGATCTTGTGCGCAAACGCGCAGAGGCGCTACTCGCTGCGGAGGCGCGTCCAGCCTGATCAGGCTTCTGTTCATTGATGAACGCACATTATATTGTACACATGACATCCATATAATAGGAGTACAACAACACATCCTTCCCATTGAGTTGTCCGGAGGAAGGCTCGGGGCCGCAGGCCCGACAGCAAGCCAACAATTCAACAACAATGCACATGCTAGTACACCATGGATAGATATCTGTCTATGACGCAGTGCCAGACGAAGACTGCTCGTTCTGACGCCCTGCGTTCGCGTCGCCCACTTCAGCTGACCACTCGTCCCCACCGGAAATCGTAGGCGACGTAGCGTTGACAGGCTCCACAGCGGCTGGGCTGGCGGCGCTTCCCCCAGCGACGCCAGACAGATTCGTGGTTGCTGTAGTACTTGCAGCCGACCGTTCCTGTCCCTGCGGCGGAGCCGAGCCAATGCTGGGGGACGTGGGCAGGACGCTTCGAACACGTGAGAGCTCCTCGATACAACGATACACAGTGTTCGACACGCCCTCCAACACACGCAGGCGTTCGTCGATCGCATCCCGGGTCAAGCGATCCAACTGGGCCAGTTGCTGATCAGTAAGCGTGGGCGGCAGATGTGTCTGGACGGGGGCAGACGTGCGTGGGAAGCGTGAGGAGCCAGCTTGTGGATGCGAGCTATGGGCCGATGGCGCCTGGGACACCATTGATGCATTTTGGCCTTGGCTGCGAGAGAATGGTGAAGTGTGCGAGCCATATGATGGTGGAAGAAGGGTAGCCGCGCGGGCGGCAGCACCGGCTGGACTCACGTCGAACAATGGAACAAGGGATGGAACGTCCAGCCTGGTGCCGGTCTGGGTTGGTTGCGTCAATGGAGGTCCCGTCTCGGTAGAAGTAGGACCCGAAGACGGTTCGGATGCGGCGGATGTATTAGGATCTGTGCTCCTCGAAGATTCTGTCTGACCAGCGGAAATCGCCGCAGGACCCCTCGAAGACCCATCACGCGCGGAAGATGTAGATTGCGAAGAACCCAGTCTCCGTATCGCGGCCTGCATCGCAGCCTCTCTTGGTGTTAGCGCGGGCGTCAATTCGGATGCCGATGACGATGCAGACGCCGTTGGCGCTGGTGCGGGACCAGGTTCGCTCGGCACAGTAGGCGTTGGACCGGGAACGACCCCGGTTGGTTCCTGTGTTGGCGGTGGTTGCGTTTGAGGCGGATTTTGGGCAGGCGCTTGGCCAGGCTGAGGTGGACCAAACCATTGAGGGTCCATACCCCACGGCTGCCAGGCACCTCCCGGACCATGGAAGCCTCTGAAAAAAGGCGGTTGAGGTAGCTGCTGTTGTTGCTGACCTTGTGGGGGATAATGTACAGGGATGTAGAACGGAGGTGCTTGACCCGGCACCCAGCCTGCATTAGGGACCTGCTGCTGGGGTTGCTGCTGCTGTGGTAGGCCACCGGGAGGAAACTGGCCAGGCACGAGCGGCCCCTGCAATCCACCTGGCTGTGCGGGAACACCAAAGAAACGACCAAGCCAGGCTTGAGCAAGCGGTCCTGGTTGAGGGCCTGCGCCAGGTTGTGGAGGAGCCGGTCGGGCACCCGGACGATCCTGTGTCTGGGGTTGGTTCTGAGTGTCCGTTTCTAACACGGTGCGGCGGCTACAATGAGAACATGAGACAATCCAATCAGAAATGCAGATAAAATTCGACTAGCCATGTTGGGCAACTCTGTTGCCGTTCCAGCCACGATCGTAAACACTGGAAGTGGAAAATATGACCGCAGGGCAATTTCTTCGGGGTCATATTCGGCCCATCGTGATGAGTAGGCGCCTGCGGTTCGGCTGATGCAGCGCCAGGCAGTGGCTGATGATTCCGCGAAACCATTTCCTCGCGGCAGATGATACAAGTCCGATCGGACATTTCTGATAAATCCGTTTCGTTTGCGTCGGGATAGCGGCGGTCCATGTCTCGAGTGGCGTTGCGATATCGAACAAGTGCCCGTAGTCGTGTGATGAACGAGCGAGCAGTAAGGTAAACGTCTCGTACGATGTTTAGAGGTAATCCATAGAAGGTGAGGATAAGCATGAAGAAGACCAGGTAGGTGGCCAATTTGAGAAAGTCTGTGCCGAAGCTCAGTTTATGTTCAAGGGTCCAAAAATCTAGAAGTTCTCACCAGTCACCAATTCAATGTAGAACACATACATGCTCTTATTCTCCATTGGGGGTGCATTCTCGCCTCCCCTCTGACGCGCTCTCCGGATATCGATTAGAGATAAAATATACCTTGCCATTGCGTTGAGAGCGCTGGCCATCAATATAGCATACTGATGACCCATATGAGAAACCAGGACTTGGATCGAACAGATCAGTACTCACTTCGCTTGCAAAGAGTACCATACCGCCCACTCCATGCGTGAGAGTGCTTTCTACCGCAAATGAAAACATGACGATATTTATCCCCCACAGCAGGCAGAACAACATATTCATCCGGATGTGGAAAATCACAGGAGGGCCCGGATAGGTAGTTTGATCCATCTTGCGGTAGGCGTCAGGATCGAATGAGCGACTATGAACGGAGAAACCTCACCGTCTCCACACGATCTGCCATGAGCCAATGGAAGCATTTTACGAAGAGCAGAAACCCAAACATTAGCACAAAGGGAATATCAAAGTCATCCCGAAATATGGTGAACGCCAGCAAGGACTCGGTCACAAATATCCATGTTTGGTCGTAGAGCCGCTGTATGCGCAAGGTTAGGCAAGGCTCCGCAGATTATGCAGATGTCGCACCTCGACCTCACGAGGCTGCAATGGACCAAAGAACAGGCGCTGGAGGATGCGACCAAAGAGCAGGGCGAGAAGGAGACCAAAGTTGGCTAACACCTTGAGCAAGAGGTACATTCAATCCGCGCGGGTTGGGACGAAGAACGGCGGCACTCACTAGTACGCTTCGACTACTCCTTGAGAGGTAGATAGCGACGGAATAGAAATTGGGATAACTCCTGCAGGCATTTGCTACTGTTCCGACGACAGCACACGAACTGAATACGGTGTAGAGGAGGATTCTGTTCGAGGTGAGCAGCGCGGAGAGAGGCTGGAGCCTCTGGCGGACGATGTCGGGGACAGGCATGGGCCCAGCCAGTGCGAGGGGAGGCACTGGGGACACTGGGCAAGGAGGAGGGTGTCTAATTGCTGCCGGCTATGCAGTGGACCACGGTTTCAGCAGAAATGGCGGCGGCTGAGGCTCATGTTCCGACAAGCGGCGCGAGGTCGTCAATGGCGCCAAGGCGCGACGTGGCGCACGCGGCGTTGCAAGGCTTAGCGCCCATATGTTTTCCGCGGATTTAGCACGCCGCTGGCTTGTATTACACAGACGCCAAAATATAAAATATTACCTAAGCATTGATGGCGGACTGTGTGTCCGCTTTTGGAAGGTGTGTAGAAAGCACTCGACACCGGCGCAGTGCCCCCGGTCTCAGATGGACGCTCCCGTTTGTCCCGTGCAGATCCCGCGACGTGGTTAGTTGCCATCGACTATTTGTTCCGAGATGCTGAGCCAGTGGCGACGCTGAAAATCGCAGGATTGTGCAAAGGTCCGCAATACGCGCCATTTCGGAATTCCGTCGCGACTCGACAAGCGGCAGGGCCGCAGATTATATTTTTCCTCGCGGTGATGCGGAGTGCATTAGAGGACAAGGCGGAAGCTGAGGGCAGGATGGTGGGCGCTCACGGTGGCGCCTCCGCCGATGAGTGCTTCAGTTGGTTAATCTGATGGGCGTCCTTAGGCGCTGCAAAGGCGCCAGGAAGGGCGTCAAGGGGAGGAAAGGCGCGCATGGGAACTGAAATTATGCTCTCAAGATAGGCAAAGGCTGAAATCGCACCTGTTCGCGTCTCGAAGCATGTGCTGCTTTTGGCTGGAATTTAGGCTCCCCGCACAGGGGCCCCGCCAGTTCTTAGGTGTTTTACGCCTTGCCGAAGTCTTGCTGTTCTCATGCGGCGCCCCACGCTCAGGTACTTAAGGGGGGCCCCGAGTCCGCACACTGGCACCACGGACGTCCCCCTCGCAAGACATGCCCTCCTCCAAACCCCCTCCCTCCTCGTCCCGTCCCCGTCCACAGGGAGGCGATAGAAAGTCGGCTGCAGACTCCCCCTCATCTGCCTCGACTGGCTCAAAGTCTGCCCCGCCTCGCCTAGGCGTATGCTGCCGCACTCCGCTCACCGTCCTCGTCATCTCTCTGACGCTGTCCTTGGGCTACTTCCTGCTCCCATCACGGCTTGCAACCACTCCCCCAGATTCCTATGCCCTCTGTTCCCCGGACGGCAATAACATCTTCACCGCCCATGACGCACATCCTCGCGTGCAATGCCTTGTGGTGCATGGATCTCGATTTGCAGATGCCGGATCTTTGCGTGAGTACGCATTATTTGCCTGGGGTGTACGCTCGCTGAAAAGGCCATCCTCATCCAGACGAGGTCCAACACCGATGGCCGAGGTCTGTTGGCGAGAATACCACATCACCGCTTAGGGTCCATTTCATCCAACCGGGCCAGATTGTGGTTCCGGGCTTGAGCGGTACGCTAGCCAGCCAGGTCGCAGCATCCTCCGCTTCTGATACTTTCACAGACTCGCATGCACATATCTTGGAGTATGGTGCTATGAAACAGATTCCTCTAGAGGGCGCACATACGGCTGAAGGTAATACTTTAGCCATCTTCTTACACCCTTGCTGACCTGCCGTAGAAACTGTTGCGAGGGTGAAAGATTACATTCTGTCTAATCCAGAATTACGAAACGACAAGTCAAAGTATGTGGAGGGCTGGGGCTGGGATCACACTCAGTGGAAGAAGGAGGAATGGCCAAATTATGTCGGTATCGAATCGTTCACAATCGTCACCTCCCAAAGCTTATTCTGGCGTTGTTGCGGCATCATAGGACGTCTTTGAATCGGACCCTGACGTTGCTGGGCGGCCCATCGTTCTCCAGAGCAAGGATGGGCATGCGCTCTGGATCTCATCTACAGTGCTAAAGTTAATGGAGCCAATACCCGAGGAAGTCCCTGGAGGCGCCATCCTTCGCGACTCTTCCGGCAAGCCCACAGGTATTGGCTCACATACCCCAATTAGAGAGCTCTTCACAAATTCTTCCATCAGGAGTGTTCCTGGACAATGCTCAGGACTTGGTGGTCCGACCCGATCCCACCTATGAAATGCTGGAGAAACGCTTTGCGACCACTGTCAAGGAGGCTCTCGCGCGAGGATTGACGGCTATTCATGACGCCGGCTTGAGCCCCCTTTCACTTGACTTCTTCCGCAGGTTAGTCTCGTGAGATTTTTTCCGGCACATTGTTTGACCGCTCATTATTTTGCAGGCAGGCAGACGAGGGGAAGCTTCCCGTGAGATTGCAAAGTCGAGTGTGCTCTTGAAATTTGGCTGACTCCCGCTTGAATAGATACGCATTTACGGAATGACATATTACGACGAGAACGCTGACTATTGGGGAGACCGCGTGTCGAAAATCGTTGGGGCTGGAAACAATCGACTGACGGCGCGCAGCATCAAAGTCTTTGCGGATGGTCGGTTGCATGGATTCCTGGCATTGGTACGAATTTATTGACCTCCTTGCTCAGGTGCTCTCCGAACAGGCGGAGCCGCAGTAAGTGCACTTCCATTCTGTCTCTGTGTTCTTAGATTTACTGACATATGTGTGGAGTTGTACGAACCCTACGCTGACAACCCAGAAACACGAGGATTCATGCGTATCGAGCCAGAAGTATTGAACTCCATTATACCGAGGTTCATGCGGGATGGATGGCAAGTGGTGAGCATTGACTGCGTCTGGTTCTGTCGTATCAGGGATGAATGTCATTTCAGAACGTCCACGCGATCGGTGACCGTGCCAACGGCGTGGTGCTCGACGCGTTTGAGGAAGCGTTGAAGGGGGTTAACGTGTCTGCCCTCCGGCCACGCCTGGAGCACGCTCAGATTCTAGCTGAAGCTGACATGGCTCGTTTCGGGAACCTAGGAGGTGAGACATTCTAATCCGTGGATGACCTGAGTGCTCATAATTTCACAGTCATTGCTAGCATTCAGCCAACCCATGCGTGCGTATTTCCGTCGCTAATCCACCCACCAGCCATGCATGTTAACTCTATTTGGTTCTAGGATAAGTGATATGTGGTTCGGAGAGGAACGGCTAGTAAGCATCTCCTTATTTCTGCGATTTCTACGGATATAATAATATTCATCTAGGGTCCTGAGCGCGTCAAGGGCTTGTATGCCTTCCGGAGTATCCTCAACTATGGCGCGCGGATTACATTGGGCTCAGACTTTCCAGTTGAGGACATGAATCCCCTTGCAGGCTTCTACGCCGCTATTACGCGGCTGTCCCCAGACGGCACCTCGCCTCATGGACCAGGCGGCTGGTGCGTGCTTCTCATAAACCGTGCAGGCGTGGTTGCCAATGTCCATAATCTAGGTTCCCAGAGCAGCGTATGTCGCGCGAGGAAGCATTGAAAGGTGCGTGTGCGGGTTGGGTTCCACAAGGGCTCGTCACATAATGGCTAATTTCGCGCAGGGATGACGATTGACCCCGCATACGCATCCTTCTCCGAAGACACACTCGGATCTATTGTTGCAGGAAAACACGCGGACTATGTCGTTCTCTCGCAGGACATCATGTCCGTCCCTGCAGACACCATCCTGGATACGACTGTCGTTGCCACGGTGCTCGACGGCCGGGCTGTTTACGGCTCGATCTAAAAATTGAAACCTGGACAGTTGCTGTATATATTGGTGTGCGTGTACCGTTATTTCTTCATACGCCGCGCCTTGCGAGGCTGGGTCCGGCGATAGTACCCACGCCCGTGTATATGTAGTTATTTCAAGCGGTGGAGACCGAATCTTGATCTTTGTAGATGAAATTCAAGGCGTTTCATAGTCCGTGTTGTTCTCTCCGCTGAAGCCGGATTGACGGTGTTTGTGGGTATAGAGCCGGCCGGGCTATTACAGTCGCGATAGTGAGTATGGCAAGTTGGTCCCATCACGGTGGGCGATGAGCTTCCCGCGAATATATATTATCAGATTCGGGGCTTCCGGGGAGTTGAGTGCGACGGAAAGGTGATGCAAAAATAGTAAAATGGGAGACTGCGGCTCCGCTTAGATTAGGGATTCGTCGAATGGGGTGCGTGACGCCATCAGCGTGCACAATAGCAAAAACTTTCGACCCTAGCATCATGACGAATTCGAAGTAACACTGGTTACAATCTTGGTTAATCTTAGTACCTACTAGTCACACACATGCTTAGTGTTGCTTAAAGTGCTTTACAATTACCTAATAGTTCAAGCCTAACACGACCACGTGATAGACCTTTGACGCGTCGTCAAAGGCTACCGTTCTGAGCCACAACCGCGTTCACTCATACCTTCGTCTCCTCTTAATCGTTCACCGAATGCCCGCCTTTCAGAACCCACAAGGGGGAGTAGGCATAAAGCGTAAAAACGAAATCCATGACCCCAATATTTCCGGCCGCAAGCGACAGGCGACGGAAGATGACTCGATCGTTTCAGGGCACGGCCGCGCTGCGGGCGAGACTTCGGCGGGAATGAAGTATTGGTTTGTGGTCTGGTACGCTCGATTCTCAGATACGTCTTAGTTATTTGACTCAAGCTGGCGCAGGCGAAATCCGCAGTACAAGAAGCACAAGACTTGGGACGGCGACGCCGTACTGGTCGTGGGTGATCCTTCATGCACACTGTATGACATGGATGGCAAGCTGTGAGTGCGCAAACTCGACTGGAGTACGCGTTGCAAGCTCTTACAGCACTTTGAAGCCTTGTGTCGGGCCGTCCGCATGGTATCGAGGGCCTACACCAGATAACTGAGGGTGCGAATTTCACGGTCGGAGGCAAGGAACTGGAGGTCGACCGTCCCATGGACCGATCCGAGTTTTACCGTGGAACGTGTTTCTCAAAGAACGCAATGACATCCCCGCTGCTGGTGCCACCTATCTCAGGCGCATCGTCGAGACAGTTCACGCCTCTTCGTCCAAAGGCGCTCAGCTCGTTCAAACCACCGACAATGACATCCAATACCGCAACCAGTAAACGCGGTATTGAACTAGAACCCATCAACTTGGTTGCATCTGGGGAAACACCTCTGAAGCAGAAGGCTCACGATTCGTCTTGGACTGTGAATTGGTGAGCGGCGGTTAGTTCAGGCTTATAATTGGCTATATGCGCATACAGGCGGAAACCGCAACAGAGGAAACACAAAACGTGGGACGGGGACGCCTTTCTTACGCTTCGGGGGGAGAAGCTCACTCTGATCTCCGAGAAAGGTCTCATGTACGCAATGATTGTTCGCCGCTCGAGAGTCTGCGATGCTGAGAAATCGCACATGCAGACTCGGGCACAAGTCATGGGACGGCATCCGGATTCACACTGGCTACTCTGCGTTCATTGGCGGCAGAGAGATCGAGGTTGACAGCCAGATTTCCCTGTCGGAACTACCGACGATTGTTGGGGCGTCCGACGAGTCTAGCGTGGATCCGCTTATATCTACCCCTCCTCGTAGCCAGACCCGGGAATCGTTCCTTCTAAGTGTTCGACGAAGTAGTGAACAGCCGCAATCGGAGGACAACTCCCCAGGATCGTCTGTATCTGCTGCACAGAAGTACATACCGCCCACGTCTTTCTATGGCAAAGGCACGGCGCAGCCCAAACCTAAGGGACCATTGTACGTGTCTGAATCACTAGCTACCGTTTTCTTGATAATTGGTCTTTACAGACATGATCCCAAAGCTGAAGGGGCTGTCGTCATGAAGGCACCGTCCAAGGAACATGCCGCAAAACACAACAAGAAGTGAGCATTGAGTTACCTGGAGATGAAATACTTCGTCTTATGGACATATGCTACAGGAATCTTCCAGTCGTTGATGTGGTCGTTGATCCAATACTTGCTCGGCATCTGCGGCCTCATCAGGTTGAAGGTGGGTCCTCAGCGAGGGAATCCATGTCATTATACTGAAAGTAGTTTGGATGTCTTTGATCGAAGGGGTCAAGTTCTTATATGAATGTGTCATAGGACTGAGAAAACACGAGGGCTATGGCTGCATATTGGCCGACGAGATGTCGGTTTGTCACTGGATTTATAGTATGCATGCGATTCTGACAAGAAACCCAGGGGTATGGGCAAGACACTACAGGTATGTAAAAGCATATCTCCATTCATTTCCTCATGATAACCTCTGCGATGCCATGACAGACGATCACGTTGTGCTGGACATTACTCAGTGTGTATTGGTAACTCGCGGTTAGATCCGAGATCATTGACTTCTCGTCATTCTCGCAACAGAGCAGAACCCATATGCGAGTGGCAATCCGGTTGTCGGCAAGATCCTCATTGTGTGCCCGGTTACGTTAATCAGTGTGAGTGGGTTTGTTGCATGGTGAATGCTGACATCCCGTGTCTCCATCCTAACGCCTTTCGACGTAGAACTGGAAGAATGAATTCCACAAATGGTTAGCCTATCGGTGTCAACGTGTGCGCCCATGCTCATATGTCATCCAGGCTCGGAAAGGATAGAGTGGGTATCTTTGTTGGAGACAAGGACAAGGCTGTGATCAAGCAGTTCATCAACTCGTAATACCGCTTCTCATCATTTGGAAGCACAGGTCCTAAATTTTCTTCCGTTCTAGAAGGATACACCAAGTGCTAGTTATTGGCTATGAACGCCTTCGTTCAGTGATGTTAGTGTCACCATTTTCCGGCTTCTGCACATTGACATGGTACTCTCTAGAGCCGATTTGACCTATTGCATGTAAGGATAATGTACTCATTCTCACCGTGATACCTGCGCTGACTACGCTAGCCCCCCCATCGGTCTTGTGATTTGTGATGAGGGTCAGTGTGACATGTTCATTAAATCATATAGGGTATCATGTCCTAGTCATTTGTAAAGGACATAGACTTAAATCAGCGAATAACAAAACATCGACGATGTTTGAGGCGCTACGAACACCTCGGAGGATTATTCTTTCGGGTACCCCGATTCAAAACGATTTAGGCGAATTCCATGCGATGGTGAGGGACTCACGCCTCCGACCTGTACGTGGAACTATGCTGACTGGCGCACGTATTTCCAGGCTGATTTTTGCAATCCGGGTCTTCTCGGTGGGTCGACGTCAATTTGCATATGTGGTCGAGCTGACCTCATTTATCACATAGATGACTACAACATATTCCGCAAAGTGTACGAGACGCCTATATTGAAGAGCCGAGCGCCAGGGTCTTCTGCGAAGGAGACGGAACTCGGCGAGGCTCGATCGGCCCAGGTACGAGTCATACGATTTGTGTATCCAACAGGTCCTAAGGTGATATGTTAGCTTTCAGCTATTGCCCGGAGCTTCGTACTCAGGAGAGACGCTACCATCTTGAAGAAATATTTGCCTCCGAAGCGTATGTCTAATTTTTCTGGCTCATCTTCTTTGGCTCATTCTACTGTCGTAGATGAATATGTTGTATTCGTTACTCCAACCAAGGTCCAGCTGTCGATATTCAATAAGATTCTTACGGCGGATAGATTAGACAACCTTGTTAGGAACTCCACAGCGGAGTCACTGGCTCTCATCAACATGCTGACGAAGATCAGCAACAGTCCGATTTTGCTGAAAGCTACTTTAGACCAGGCAAAAAATAGAGCGGACCAGGGTGGTGATGTCATCAAAAAGAACGCGATTGAGGAAGCCCTCAAGTTACTCCCGGAGAGGGCTCGAGTGGACGATGTGACTCTCAGCGGTAAACTTTCGGCTTTCTTCATGGTTATTTGAAATGCTGACCGTCTCGTTGCACAGGCAAGCTCACGGCTCTTGCTCATCTACTTCGTGCACTGCATAAGGTAGTCTTTCACTAAATTAAACTACCCTATACTGATAGGTCCGTTTGGGTAGCACACGGATGAGAAGTGTATCATTGTATCGCATTATACGTCTACGCTAAATCTCGTGGAAGCATTTTGCAAGAAGCAGGCGTACACATACCACCGCCTAGATGGGTATGCTGCGCTCTTGCCGGTGAAATTGGAAAAAGCTGACTGATATTTTCACAGGCAAACGCCGGCCCCAAAGAGACAAGAATACGTGAACGAATTCAACAAATCAAACCAGGCGAAGCGCTGTGCGTGTATAATATAAAGCCAGATAAGTTAGTCTGACAAATCACCTAGTCATATTCCTTCTGAGCTCAAAGGCTGGAGGCGTCGGATTGAACCTCATCGGCGCCTCAAGACTCTGTCTGATCGACTCAGATTGGAATCCAAGGTGCGTCTGAGAGCCTGAGGCTCGCCGTAGCACATGCTTCGCTGGATTGACTGTTGCATTTAGTCATGATCTCCAGTCTATGGCTCGTATTCATCGGTCAGCATTTGCATTCTCCATATCGCACGCAATCATGTGGGCTGACCCATGTCTTAGTGATGGGCAGAAGCGCCCCGTTTTCATATACCGATTTCTGACCGCTGGTACCATCGATGGTGAATGAAATCGCGGTTACTACATTGGTTTTCGCAATATATATACTGAATTTCAACAGAGAAAATATACCAGCGGCAAGTGACTAAGTTGGGACTAAGCAACTGTGCGTGCCCACTGCCCTAAGTCGTGTAGAGACTAATACTTCCCCCATAGCATTGATGGGAGATGTAGGCACTCACAAGTATACCAGTTCATCGTTCTCGTTAAAGCAATTGTTATAGGGACCTTCCGCGTCCAAGTCGGACTCCTTTACCCGTAAAGATGTGAACTTAGTTTACACCCAAGAATTCTTGAATACTTGCTGACGCTAATTCTCTCCTTAGTTACAAGACATCTTCACTATCCATCCACATACCGCTTGCCACACGCATGATCTGCTAGAGTGCCCTTGCGAGTCGACTGGCGATGGTGCAGCGACGAGCGAGTTGGGTGGCATGCTTCCGCCTGCAGAAGAAGATTACAGCAGCGGTGAAGATGCGCCTGCAAGCTTCGTCGTTGCATCACAGGTCGATGCGGAACAGATCGAGAAGCGGGACCGAGCGGTATGCATCCTCTATTGTACGATGAGTGCTAGACATTTGACGGACATGGTTGGTATAGTACATGAAACAGAAGAAGGCCCAACTAGCAGCCTTGGGCGAATGGACACATATCAATTGCCTGAAGCGCGGTGCTTATGAGCGAATCCAGGACGATATTCTGGGTGATATGCTATACTCTCCGCCTACAGAGAAGTTGTCGGATAATGCAACTCAGAATCGGAAGTTGTCCCTCCTGGACGCTGTAGACCTCGACAACCTCAAGGCTGCAAACCCCCCTCCGTTGTCTGTGGACCAAGTTCCCGGGGGGACTGTCTCATTCCTGTTCGAACGTGGATCGAAAGCGGAGATAGTTGCCGAGGAAGCCAATATTGCTGATCCAGACTCAGTCTAATCTGCTTTTTGTGGATTGTAGATGTTTCTGCTTTCATATTAGTACTTACGATGCACATAATGCTATATCTGTTTGACCAATCTGAAGCAGCAGGTAATAAAAGTCACGCTACTGAACGCGTCTGGTCACGAAACGGTTACGTTGTGACGAGACGTGTTTTGTAAGGACTCGGACTTGCAATGAGTCTCTCCGATGCTCATTCCCTTCAATTTAGAGTATGAGGTATCGCATGAGAGCACTGCAATAGGTGAGCTCAATATTTGTGATCTCGAAATTCATGTACATCGGCGAATTGTTGAGCCTAGGCGCTTAGTATACGTATCTCTGCAATGGTGTTTCGATCGCGTGGTTGTAATGGAGGTATACCATGGACTTTGAGATGTGAGTATCTAATTTCACGAAACAGATTTTCCTTTCATAACATGTTTGGTTGTCTGTCTCAGGTCTTCAACAACGCTGGCCAGTCGCGCTCGTTCGCAACATTTGCCATGGTTGAGGTCTTTGAGAAAAATGCTGAGTCATGCCGTCACCTCTACCGAGTAGGCGTCGATGCCAGCATCTGGTTGCAGCATGCAAGCTTCAGCAAGGGAGGCAAAATCCTGGGCTACGACTTCTATTCTTCCGTGTTCGCAGCTTTGCAGAGTTGCCGTTTGTCCCACTGTCTGTGTTCGATGGCGTAGGGAAACCTAAAGTAAAGCGAAACAGCAAAATGAGAAAATCAGGTTCTCTCATGCACTCGTTATCGGGATGAACAAGTACTAGAAATTTATGGAATGGAATGACGATTGGTATGACTACTCGTTTCCTCGTGTTCTGCAGCTGATTATGATCCTAAAAGCTTTGGGCGACGCAGAAACAGAACTTGCCCATCTGAACAAGATTGGGGCCATTGACGCTATAAGTACTGATGATGTGGGCACACTTGTATTTGGAGCCAAAAGCATCATCAAGAAGTGAGTGGGTTTGCTAGAAGAATCGCGCCCCATACTTACGACTCCATCTTGCCAAATTCGGGCTTGACCTTGACGGAGAACAAGCCCAATCCCTCGCGATCTGAGTGGAAAATTAAGCAAGTATTATGTCGTTATCATCTCCGCAGAGGCTACCCGAACACATCCGAAGATTCTGCTAACCAGGGTTCGCCCTATTCTGGAAGAGACTATGATCAGGTATGCTAACATTGGTTGTTAACACTAATGTAGGACGTAAAGCTGACGACGCAACTTAGCAGATTCGGTCCGCAGTTGCACATGCCCTCACTCACTTGGGCAGCTGCTCACAGCTTGGGAGAGGCGCCACGTGCAGAACATTCATGCGTTCCTGGCTCGCTGGCGAACAGAACAGAACACCGAAATTCATACCAACGCACATGAACTATTGCGCCACACTTACCCATCACTGTCCATACCGGTCAACTTCCCAGACTTAGCTGTACTTGAGTATTATGCTAACCCAGTCACCAGTGCTCGCGAGGGACGTCATGGTGACGGCGCTGTGCGTGACAATGGGTATCTAAGCTTTGCAAAGGCTACAAGCTTTGTCGAAAACCATTTCGATGAGTGGGGATATCACTCTGAAGTCATCAAATGCTTCTGGATGGTCTCGTACCCAGACGTCTTTCGGACTGTTCTCTGGAAGGCTGCTACCCTACGGCGTGCGGCGTTGAAGACAGACAAGAAAGGAAAGGAAAGAAACGAAGCGAATTCGGGCTGGCCCCAACGATACTGCAGGCCCATTGCGGCCCCCGAAAGCCGAGGCAAGTTGGTAATTTGGCCTTTCTCGTTACTAAATATCTCAACCCGAGCGATGTTGATCGGCGAGCAGCGGCATTCATGCGGTGAGACGATGCGACTCCCGCCCATGCCTGTGAAGACGAAATTTATCCGCCCATCGGCAAAATCGTTGGACTCAGGCGACCCGTACCGATTAATAACATGCTCGAGTCTCGTGTCGAGGTTGATCCTACCCAGCTTGTTTATCTGGCGGACGTGGCGATAAAAGGCAAGCACAAAGGGCCTGCTTTTCCGCATAAAGGTGCCGCCGATTATGATTTTGACGATGACGACGAGGTTCCAGACTTCCTAGTGGGTAGCTCACAGGACAATGCGCAGGGCGCGACCACCGCCTCCGAATCCTTTGAGCGTCATGGATGTCTGGCTTCCAGCGTCAACCATGAGCCAGGTGCACCCTGGGCTCGTCGAAGATTCGAGGCTGCCGAGGAAGCGAAACAAGCGAGGAAACGGTCCGGGGAAAACGTAAGAAAACCCAGGTTGATGACGGAGTCACCGACGGTGACACCGAGGCGCGCTCGCCAGTTCGACCAGCGGGTAATCGCTCACGCAGATCAGGACGAGACGACGAGTAGCCGAACGGGGATGAGAGCATATGTCCTAGACCAAGCCAGACGCCTCGTAACTCCTCAGTGATAATCAGCCCATTTAGGGAGTCGTCCCTGCTGGTTAGGAGATGTGATTTTCTCTTCACGTTTCTGAACCCTGATGGCTCAGGCCAGCTCGTTGTAAACGGCGGTGACCTCTTGTCTCAGCCGGTCCTTATCGAGCAGGTAAAAATTGCGTCCGATCAAATTGCTCTTCCTCTCCCCTCGATGGCTGCTAACACAGACAAAGGAAGGGTAAAGCGCCTCTGAGACGCAAGCGGGCTAAACAATCGACTGGCAGTACCTTCACGGCGGCTGCGTGTGATCATTCCCTGCTTCTAGAGGAATGACCCACCCATAAGCAAATGGGATGCATATGTGGATTTTGAGTGTACTTCCCCGTAAGAACACCCACACAGCCGCAAAGACGAAGCTCAAGCAGACACGACAGTCTGGAGGGCAGGCTGTTGTCCAACGAAATGAGGCGCGACGAGGTCTTCAGGATTCCCAAGGTTGCCACCCTCATACCGCGAAGCTGCGTTGTGGAACAATGAGCCTATGTCCAGCCTTCCAAAGGTCCCTTCGTCGGTGCCCACGCCCTTCCCTTTGCTGTCTCCGCTTCAATGATCCTCAGCACAAACGAAGAGAAAGCGGTCGCTGGAAATTGCTAACATCGATGCTATCGAATTTGAAAGCGACTCTGAAGAAGCAGAATCCAGGCCAGCTATTGCGCCGAAGCGACGAGGATACCAATTTGCAAGAGAAGCATCGTCGCCACAGGCCAGCACCCTGCAACTCGATACCCAAGACCAGGATATGATTATTAATTTGACGTAAAGGGTTCATGGAACTACACCTATCTATTCTTGACTTACCTTGCATTCCCTGGTGACTGTAGCATATAGCTTCTTGATTGCGTTGACAAAACGCTCTCGTTTGGATCGTTGGGTTATTTGTACAAGATCTCACTCATATTTTGTCAATGGCATTGAACTGTCAGTCCTCTTGAGAACCGGTTTGTAAAGCTTTTCAGCTAATGTTATAATCATTACTAATGTTTACGAGCATTATACTTACAAATCGTCGAGTTCCAGTTTGGGTGCGGAATTGTCTAAATCCTCTACACTCCATTTTGAGCGCAACTCGATAGTGTAATCATCCGTATCACCAGCAAGAAAGCGTTGCATGGACGCCCATGCAATCATGACCGCGTTGTCTATGATAGTCATCAGTACTACGATAGTACAAAACAAGTTCGCAGCAATACTTACCAGTGCAGAGAGAAGGGGGAGGAAAAATCAGAGAGATCGGAACGTCGGGGCTAGCCCCATCCAAACACGCTCTTAGTCTGGGACCGGCGTCAGCGAATACCCTTACAGTATGCGTACTAGCGTCCACACCTTTGTCGCAAAAACATATTGCTTGCAACTCCGCCACTGACCACTAGATGTCGGATGTCAATTCCCTTCCGCCGGCACACGCGCAGTCCAAGTGCAAGTTTCTCCTCCAGCTGGCCCACGGCGGCCATCTGAAATCGAGTCGCAATCGCGTATCGAGTGTGCTCGTCAATTATGCCACCCCGCGCGTGCATAAAACGCTCCACGGTTGAGTGCAAGCCGGTGTACGAGAAGGCGAGCCGACCGCGCATCGGCAGCGGGATGTGCGGCGCCTCTAGCTCTGCCTGCGATCGCGCACCTCGCTCTTCCGATTCCGCTTCGACGGGATCGGAGGTAGGGCCACTCATGCAGAACTGTTCAAGAGCGGCGCCGGGCCCATGCTGAGACCACGGGAGCGAGAGCATGCGCGACACTTTGTCGAAGGCGCGGCCGATGCTCTCGTCGAGGGTCGTCGCAAGCGTGCGGAACGTCCGTGGCGAGCTGGCAAGCAGGAGAAGCGTGTGCCCGCCCGAGACAAGGAGCGTGAGGAAGGGGTATGTGGGGAGCGAGTCGACAGGCGTCGTGAGGAAAGGCGTCAGGGCGTGTGCTTGCTAGAGAGGAGTGAGATAGGATGTTTGAGCATTCCACAAAAGCATACGATGTGAGAGATGGACGAACCATGTGGTGTACGCCGACGAGAGGTTTGTTCAGTGCCGCAGCGAGAGTTTTGGCGGCGTTGGACCCGACGCTAAGGCATCCTCCGATTCCTGAAGCATGTGTGGTTCAGATATGATGGAGGTGAGCAAGCTTCTGGAAACGTACCAGGGCCTCGTGTGTATGCTATCCCATCAACGTCATTTATTGACATACTAGCCTCCTCCAACGCCCTTCTTACTGCTCCTGGCTAGCGTCGGACCAGAGCATGAGATGTCGAAGAGAAGGCTAGAAGCAAAGTTACTTACCATATTCCGTTGGTGGGCCTCAATGGCAACATAAGGATGTATTCCACCGTATGCTTCATGACTGCGGATATATTTGAATAATTTTATGAGAGAATGTGAAGAGCTGGTCATACTAGCTGTCTTGCCTCAGCACGACATTGGAGAGAATCTGACGTTCCGAGGTGACTATTGCCGCACAAGTATCGTCTGCAGAAGACTCGACAGCAAGCACTGTGAGGTTCCGATGAGGTGGGGCTGTAGTTAAGTTGCGGGTGATGAAGGCAAGAGGACGAGAAAGACGAGTTAAGCCATACATCCGGACAAGGAATTTGTGGAGATATTGACACGATATGTGGTGGTCGCCGACGCGCGCGCTCACATTCTCCCCTCCCTTTCCTCTCCTCCCTCGTCGCTGCGGTGTCTGGCGCAAATTGTCTTCCCACTACTTTATGACTGCCTTTGATGCTGGTTATACCTTTAACGACATCCCCGCGCCCTTCGTTTAATCACCTTCATCCACATTTACGCACGCATGCCTGGCCAAATGGGCCGACGATCCTCGCAGGACAGCAGCTTGCACAGACCAGAGAAACGAAGGTCCTCGAGCCACGAGGACGACACACCACGCGCAACGCTGCTCCAGAGCGTCTCCGGTGGAGTTTATCAGGATGTGAGCGGTGATTTCCAGCCTTCCAAGAGGCTCGCATTTTTGTCCGAGAAGCTATTGTCTTCATCCAGCGGGTCTAGCAGCCAGCGTAGCGGTTTGCCAGTGCGTACACATTCACGTACAGACTCCTCTCACACGTTCGTCCCCCGCGAATCCACACCATCTCCTGCTCCAGCAATGGCGTCCGCTCCGTCGCAGACAAAGGGGCATACGTCTCCAACAAAGGTGGGTGTCCCATATCACGAGTCCCCGATAAACAGTACAGGAGCTGTGCCTTCCACAAACATATGAGGCAATCAACCCTGCCCCTATGCCTGCCGTGTGATCCATCAGTCAGAAGCCAGATATTAGGTTCAATTCCGCACGCTCTCTTCCTCATTTGCCTCCGTATGCGTATACGTGTTCACATCGTTCCCTATGCCAGACTTCGCGAACATATGACTCAAAGCTCGTCTCTCGAGAAATGCATCGCCTAGGCAACCTTGCGCACTCGCACCTCCCCGCCCTCGCGCCGTCGCACTCTGCGCCCGCACAATCGGTCAGCAACATGGTCGCAACCACTGTACCCAGCACCGCGGCGAGCTCTCCGGGAGACCCCTGGCAGTCACTGCATGTATATGTTCTGCCACTCTTCAACGGTGAGCCACTACGAATCCCTATGTGAGTAGACTTGTCCACTATTCGATCTTAGATACTATATAGCATATTCGTAGCGAAGATCTCAACCACCTGGTCAAACGCCATATCCAGGCCGTCATTTCACAGTCGCCATCGAAAGCGCTTGCGGTCCTGGAGAATGATGCAGCGGAACTTATTTCGTCCGGCATGGTGACACTGAACGCAAGATTGACGGAGATATCGGATGAGAAACTGGTTGGACGCGTCGTGGAAGTGTGGGGATTCTTTTGGGATCAGGTGCTGCCTTATGTCGAAGGGGTAAGTGCTTTACACGTCGTCGACTTCATCTAGATCTAACGGGCGGCCAGGCATTGCTCCCGCTGCAAACAGAGCCACTGCTCTCATCCCTGTACCGCGTGCCCAAATCCCATAAGCCGACCACATCGCCGATCGCTGGAGCGAACACCAAAGGTTCTATATCTTCGCTTATGCTCCAGTCGTCGCAGATTGATGTGCGAACCGTCGCCCTGGAATCGTTCCGCGATCGCGTGATACTTCCTGCCTTTCCTCGCATGTATGGACGTCTCACCACCTCCGGCGAAGCAGCGATCCCAGACAGCCCAACATTACAACAACCTAGGCTGCAGCAAATGTATGCCCCTTTTCCACGCCGTCTGCTAATGGCTGATATCGTGTGTACCTTACAGGCTGCTTGTCCTTGTATCTCAGCGCTCGCACCGCCCTATATCATTTTCCCTTACGTCGGCACCGCCACCGCCTACGCCAGGGGAGGCGGCGGTACAGCA